AACAAAAAGATTCCTAAACGTGTGTCTGAAGGAGCGACTAGAATGGTTTTGTCGGCCTCCACAACTGTGAGGGGATGGTTTACCCCAAAAGTCGTGTAAGTGAAGCCAAACAAAGAACGAGACCTAAGCCCATGATACCTCATCTTCCATGGAAGCATGAGAGATGTCGAAGCCGAGATAGATCTCTCTCGCGGGGGGGGAAATAGAGAAGAAACGCCTAGATTGCTCCAATTGCTCCGTTCTCTGACTGACCGTACGCCCCCGGGCTGAAAAAATGTTTCCAAAAAAATTGACTCTATATCCCAAAAAAACTTGACCTCCCCTGATCCCCCGCTAAGCCCACACGCGTAGCCGCGCTCCTTGCGATGGGGGTATCTCTTTTTTTGTGCAAGTGAAAATAACAGATGATACTGGAGCTTCTACGAAAAAGAAGTCCGCTCTCATTGTTAGGGGTCATAAAGTCGTAAGCGCACAGCGCGAGCGCGCGCGGTTGGCCGATGAAGTTTCATCGGCGCCGCGGCGTGAACTCCTCTTCTTCTAAACGTAGCCAAGAAAGGAAGGCAAAAGATCGGATTTGTGTTCCCGAAGAGAAAGCTTAGTTGCCGATGACGAAGTCACGCTTGTAGTTGGGGGACTGGTGGTGGTCGTCGACGTCGCGGCGGGAGGTGACGCCGTTGCTGCCCAGGGTGCAGATGAGGTCGGTCTCGGAGGTGACCTTGGTCTGGACGTCGTCGGGGAGGTAGTAGGCGTTGTTGCAGGGCCACCAGTCGCAGCCGGAGATGGGCTCGTCGCCGCTGGCGGGCCACATCTTCTTGACGCCGTTGTGGTCGTTGGGGTTGACAATGGCGGAGACGTCAAAGTAGGTCAGGCCGTTCCAGCCGTTGAAGGCGACCTCGCCAAGCATGCCGGCGACGTTCTCGGAGCCCTTGGAGACGGAGTACCAGTTGCCGATCCACTTGTCGGGGATATCGACCGTGACCTCGCCGCCGGCGGGGACCTCGACGGAGTCGACAGAGGCGAGACCGGAGTTGGGGGTGAAGTGGACGGTGCGGGAGACGTCGTCCAGACCCTTGAAGGTGACGGTGTTGGCGGCAACGAGAGCGGCAGAGCCGAGGAGAGCGAGAAGGTTGAACTGCATTTTGAGTTGTGGAAAAGGGATTTGTTTGTGAGAGTGTGTGTAAGTGCCGGAGGGCGGTTTGATGAGTTGAAGATGAGTTTGTTTGAAAGGGTCCCCGTAAACGTTGTCAACAACGGTTGTACAGGTTCAAGATGATTTGAAGGTGGTTCAATGATAAGCGTCTAGCGAATCTCGAGAACTGAGTTGCCCTGGGTGGGTGTTGTGGTGATGGACTCGAGCTTGGTTTGTGAGTTTGTTTCTGAACGGACCGGGGCCGTTGAGTGGATGAAAGCTTTCAAAGGAGTGGAAAGCTTCGTGTGTGAAAGGAATGCTGCTGTCTGAAAAGACAAAGTGTGAGGCTCGGCCACTGGAAGGATAGTGATGCGGGATGGGGAATCGAAACCGGGGAAAGGGAAGGTCTCGTGGGAACCGGACCATACTTATACCCATGTCAGAAGGATGTGGGAGAAAAGCCTGGAAAGGACTTGCTTGTGAGATGGCAGTGGGGAGCGGAGCCGGAGGCGTCAAGGAGCCAACATTGAACAAGGACGTCCACGGGTGGGAACGTTTGAATACCGCGGTGGGGACATCAGCCCGAGGGTGCTTCCCAGAGTTACATGGAGCAGCCTCCATCGGAGAGTGGGCTAGGATACTTGGGCGCCACGATTGTAACTTGTACAAGTCGTTGTAACTTGTCAACCATGATTGGACGTGTCCGTGGAATTAATGGCCTCACCAAGCTCAGAGTTTTCAGTCTGGACCAGCACGTCTGCCATCCTTTTCGGCTCGAGAGCACTAGACGAGGTTTGAGCACAACGTTGTCCTGGAGTCCTGTCCTGGAGTAATAGTGTCCTGGATCTAGACGAGTGGTTGGTTCATGGATCGTCTGGAGCTGGAACAAGGGCAGCCCGTCCATAATGTTTTCAGAAACATCTCTAATGGTTCTTCGTTCTGTCAGACTTATTTCCAGTGTGTTTGCGCCTATTTCTGGAGTTCCAGGCTGTGTCTAGAGTTCCTTTTCGTTTCTAGCGTCAGGGCGCCCTCCGTCGGAGTTGGCTGTGCGGCAGGAGCACGGAATCGACGCGGCAGTGTGTGCGGGTACCTGGCGCCAAAGAAACACCCACGGACTGGGCAGCAGGCTGTCGTGGCAACAGGGACCGCGGCGGACGTCAGCCCTTGGTGCGGTTTTTTGTTTTTTTTCCTCCCATCCTGCATGTGCGTCAGCTTTCCGGAAGTCTGTTGAAGAGTGTTATTGGCCGGTTAGCTGCTGATTGTGCCTGGTACCTGACTGTAGGAGACCTCTCCGCGTGGCGTACCCTGACAGGTTGGAGAGAACAAGTGGTAGAAACGCGCGATTCGAGGCAGCCCGGCGCTCCAGCACACAAATTAGCGCCGCGGCTCATGATTCGTAGCCGGTCAAGACCATTTCGGCCCATGACGGGGGCTTTCCTTGGACTCAGTAAGGTGTCGAGTAGGTACTCGCAGCAGCCCCCTCTCCCCCTTGGCCCTAAAGCTCTGGCCCCTGGTCGAGCCACGGACTGGTGAGAAGACTGGGTAACATGTGCCGGCCAGTACCGACTAACCCCCCCCCAACCCCCCCCCTGCCATGGGACACCGGGTTACGCAGCCGGACGGAAGTTGGAAGGGAGTGCGCGGGAGAGCCGTGCTGGCTATGCCTTTTGGGTGAACGCCGAGACGGCAGCGCGTGGCTTCAGCTCCCGCCGCACCGGTTCATCTGTACTAGAGAATGACAGGAACGGCCGATCAATGTGATGAAATGCAGGTGATGGACCAAGATTACCAGACGACAACAACGACTTGTGCCAACGTGTGTGAAGATGAGATGACGGCCTCGCTGGCAACACACGCAGACGTATCCGGAGATGGAGACCAAAGCGCTCACTGGAGCAGACGGCAGAGAGGCAAGGCTCACTCAGCAAGGAAAAAGAAAACACGATGGCATCAGTCATTGGATGACAACCATCTCGGTTGGCAATCCTTCAGACTCCTGTGACGGAGGCGATGCCACGACGCCGGAAAATGCCTCTCTGTGCCCTGGCAGACCCCATCGGCGAGGAATCGTTGCTGGCCAGAAGGACTTGGCGAGATACATCCGAGAGTGTCCAGGAGGGGGAGAGGGGGGTGAAGAAACTTCAAGGAAGAAACGGCCAGACTGGAGGCTCTGAGCCTGGTGAGCGAATCGGGGAAGAAGGTTCAGCCCATGGCTGTCGACCTGGGCCGTTGGTGTGAAGTTGGAACCGGGAACAAGACACGAGAGCAAGAGGGTGTGAAGGGGGAGGGGAAGTGGGTTGTACCTGTCGATCACAGCCCGAGTGTGTGGTGTCCCGTGCACTGTAAATGAGGCCGTACTGGGGACTGAGGGATGGTCGCCGGAGTGATAGATGGAATACGGCAACTTCGCCTCTGTTACTAACAATATCTCGACATGTGGGCAGTTCCCAGTACTAGTCGGAGGTCCCCGGACACTGCCCCGACGTCTGCGGTCCTGCGGTCTGCCCCCTCTCCTCCTGCCAGGAACAAGCTTATTCACGCAGTGCCGCGCCCATGCTGTCAGTGCCTGCATATCTCGATGGCCTGAACTATCAGGTACAATTAATTGGAACTTTCTGATTTTTCAAAAAGTTTCTTCCTGATAATTTTTCTGCCTCAGGCCTGCAGGGCAACACAGTCTACTGCGTAGGCTCAACGCCACCAACATGTTGCGACTTGCGACTGCAGTTGACGACTCAAGTATCGCCGAGTTATCCATCCAGCCATGGACCTTGTTGACTAAAAGTACCGAGGTACTCGATACAAGAAGACGAAGGAAGGAGGACGAGGCAAAAGCCGTATAGAAGAAATTGCCAATTCATAACAGCCAATATTAATGTTGAATAATTGGACTGAATAATTGTCCATAACTTATAAGGCTGGGACTGCAAGGTAGTGTAGCAAGGAGGCAGAATAAGGTCATATCTAAGGTGTAGTTTAAAGTGAGAGATGTACTGCAAATCTCTCTTTACCGTCAGATCGGTTGCTCGTCTGTGTTATCTACCCACTGGAGCATCTTTCCCCGACTTGGTCTCGGGCAGTAACAGGCACACGTGCTTGCTTCTGGGATGCCATGGCCGAGTGGTAAGCAACGAGGAAGCAAGCTTTTGCTGCTCGGTGCCGCTGCCCATTGTTTCCATTGTCTGGGCCTCGTCTGTAATGGTTGCATTGGCATGTCGCATATCCTTGGCGGCCCGTTGAGATGATCATTGGGACGGGGCCGTTCTCGACCACAGCCGGTTCCACTGATCATCGCTCACTTTCCGGACAGCTCGCACCTGGGCGATACGTACACTACTTGTGATGAAGAGCCTGCAGGCTGCAGCAACGGCTTGTGAAGTTGTGAACCTGTGACTGCCAGCAATGAACATTGCTCCAGTCTCAACTGCCACGACTACCCAAGGTGTTAAGTAAGGTACTCTGCTGTGTAAGGCACTAGATAGAGCCTTGGGCTGCGCAGTTCGTACCTTAGAAGCCGGAGCGCAGGCCACAAGCTTGGTAATCGGTACGTATCTCGCTGCTCCAACCGTCAGATGCCAAGCCAACCCTAAACGGAAGGCAGGTCCGTTCGAGAACGGGGTTTCTGCGGGCCCATTTTCAGCAAAGTTCTGTCCAATGCAGGAACCGTCGATAGGACGGAACTCGGTTACGCCAAAGTACCACGGCACCGAGACGGAAATTGGAACCTTCGTCTTCTACGGAGTATCTCACAGTAATATCTGTACCAAGGTACCTCACTCTGACGCATCCCGGTTCTCCAGTCTCTTCAGAGTCAGACTCTTCACCTTGCTTTACCTTCCGTTTGCGCCTTGGCTTGCCAACGGATTCCTCAGCCAGTTTCTTACTGGCTTCTGTTCTGGCCTTGGACATCTGATGTCGGAATTCCCTCACACCATCATCGCCAGAATCTTTCTCCACCGGATCCCCGTTGCAGTTCTGTCGGTGGAACACCGCAATCTGGATTTCTGGCCTCGGATTGTTCCAGCAGCCCCCAAGCAGCATCACCATCCATCCGGCCAGCCTTGGAAGCGGATTCAGTGTCGCAAGAGCTTGCCGAAAAGCTCTTAATAACTACGAAGGCGAGGCCGGGGACAAGCTGTGACCTCATTGTGCCCATCAAATCCCCCGCCCTCTGCCCTATGTTGGCTCTAAAGCTCCTCCTCCCCCGCAGGCCATTCCCACAACCGATCCCAGTTTGCCATCTACGGATACCAAGACGTGCTCGCAGATATTGCTCCTACCACACGAACTGCCGGGGAAGAAAACCTTTCACGTCCATGTCTTCTTGGTTGTGGATGTCTCGCCCGCTCGTCTACCCACCGCGCGCGTCACCGGTGTCGCAACGGCGAGAGACCTTCGCGACCGAGGTCTGTCCGGGGTTTTTCCGTTAGACCCGAAACTGTTACTTGCAAAAAAGAAACTTGGCGCCAAAGACCGTTAACACCATGAACCTTGAACCTTGGAGCGGGAATGCAACAGAGGCCGACTTTGACAACAGGACTCCCCGCAAGATTGTAACTGTTTGGTGGAGGGGCACTTCCCTGCTTCAGGTGGCCATCTCTCAACCAAGTCTGCAGGAACGTTGGCACTCTCGCTCTGGAACTGGCGAGCACCAGGATCGTCTGCTGCTGTTCTGATAGCTGCCCTATCATTCAAGGTCCTTCGAAGCGGATTTTTTGCGTAAGGAGTACACCAATTTCTACCCAGCCCAAGCGCGAATTTACCCGGCTGTTGCCGTTAGAACTGGCTTTTTGGCTGATGTTGAAAGTCGATTCTACACACCAGAGACCGGCGCGCGGAACGATTTGACATGCAAACAGCAGCATCATGCGATGTGATAGTCTGCATGCCAAGTGGTATTGCTTCTACAGCTACGGCAGCGACGGGCGCTGCCTGAAAAGGACATGGGAGCAGTGTTGGTGCTGACTCTAGCACTTGCACATCCATCTCTCGTTGTTCTCACCGTTGGTCTTGTTTATCTTCACTCACGCGGGATTGCAACAATCTGACTGCAAGCCAGAAATTCTGCCTGTTCTGTTTCAGTCGACTTCTCGTAAAAGTCAGCTACGAGTGTAGAGCATCTATCGGAGTGCTTGAAAGTCACATGGGCAAGTGCTGACGGACGGTTTTCTTTTTCGAGCTTTCAACGTGCTAGTCAAATCGTCCGTCCAGAGATTCACAAACATTCCAAAGCGTCAAACACAGCCTCATCGGCCGCGGCATTACCATCTGCTCAATTGGCATCAGTCAAATCACGAGGTTAATTATTGAACCAGCCGAGCCCGTCGGTCATATGTGGAGTATGCGACTGGGCAATCGGCGGACAGCATGGCCTTGCGGCAAGGCCATAGACGCGAACACGAAGCATCTTCTTTCTGTGAAGTTTCCTACTTTCCAGCTTTCTTTGACAGATGTTCAACTCCCGTCGTCGAATCTATCATTCCGGAGACATTACTAGCCGGTTTTTCACGATGCGTATCCAAAACTGGAGGCATGGTGGTTGATGACACGAGCTGTCACCGCTCGACCCCTACCATCGCATAATCACTTGCCCAAAACGATTTCAATAAAGTGACCGGCCCAATAGGAAGATAGCTTCGAGAACCAAATTCTCAACCCGTCTCTGCTGTTGATGCCAGCCAGAGCGATGGCGCCATCCCCAACCAGGCATGACAGGGCACGACTTTCTCGTATCTTCGTCGTCCACCCCGCCGGGACGGAGTCACATTCCTGCCTCATGGCCACATCTGGCACGGCGGTGCGCGCCACCTGCAAGGTGCGTACAGTCATCAGCACCAGCTGCCCATCAGAATCGAGACGCAAAGGGCCGAATCTGGGGTTGGAGGGCGGGCAACCATACGCCCGACTGAGCAAGGGCGGCGATGCCCGGCAAGATCAATCTGATGGCGGCGAGGCAAACATCCTAGGCCGTGTAAGCATCGGTTCCAAAGCATTCTTCTGCACGATGAATCTATTCACGCAGAAACGACCCCGCCCTCGCGATACATAAGGGGAGCGATTGCCTGGCTTGGCTGTGTTCTATCGTTCTGAATGCCATTATCTATAACTTACACATCCGCCTCTCGACTTTGCTCAGTTTGCAGCGTGCCTTTGGCAAACATACCTTCGCTTGAATCAGAGTCACTCGCTTCCAATATACGATGAGGTTCATCCAGCTGTGGTCTGCAGCAGGGCTCGCAGCCTATGCGCAGGCTTGGGGGCCTGATATCAGCACCGCTTACACGACTGTGGTGACCACAGCATACGAGACGTATTGTCCAGTAAGTTCTCTCAAAAGGAAAGACCTCATAGAAGAGACCAGAATGCGGAGCTGACTTGCCTGTAGTCGCCCACTACCTTTGTCCACCATAATGTGACTTACACGGCGACCACGGCAACGACACTTACTATCACGAGTAAGTTGACAAGGCTTGGTCAACATATGCCGCCGTACTGACCTGAAGAACAGACTGTCCTTGCACCATCACCACCAGACAACCCCCGCCATACACCACGACCAAGACGATTTACCCGCCGCCCGTCAACACCACCTCGTGCCCACCAGAGATCACCAGCACCACGATCAAGACGATCAAGACCACCAAGCACACCCCGCCTCCTAAGCCAACCTACCACAACACCACCGTGATCGAGCACACCCCCAAACCTCCCAAGCCTACGGAGCACCCATCGCACTCGGAGGAGACGCCCAAACCGCCTAAACCTACCGAGCACCACCACCACCCCAACAGCACCTCGACCGTCGTTGTCGTGATCACGCTGTCCGCCGAGACCATCATTGCCAGCATCACCCCCGTCACTCCCACCACTCCCGTCACCAACCTCCCCACTAACACGCCCGTCGGACCGGCGACCACCAGGCCCGTCACGGTTCCCGCGAACGCGGCTGGGATGGTCGAGGCCGGTGCCGGCGCGGCTTTGGTTGCTGTCCTATTCACCCTGCTGATTTGACCCTCTATGATGGATTTGGGGATTTAACCCAAGGCGAACAGGGAGGGAGACAATGTACTCCTTAGGTACGGAGTGTATCTGACGAATTGGCTTTTTTTTACTTTCATCACCTTCATTTACGGCCGGCAAAAGTTGGGAGAGGTGAACACACCGGAGAATCATCTTTGCTTTTTTCTACGATACCCTATGGCAACTTTTGAAGTTTAGGACACAATGGCGGTCATCTGACGGGAGTATAGGGAGTGTTTTGCCATATTGGGTTACATACAGTCCTTACGAAAAAATAATGATAATCATAGTTTAGGAAGTGCAAGCACTCAATCATGGGAGCTCTTCACCAAGAAACAAACAATTCTTACAAGAAAGCACTTTACAGTCCTCGATTAGTGATTCCATTCCCCCCCTCAGCTGATAGGTCCGATAGAGAGAGAGGAAGAGGGAAAATGATAAGAGCCGCTGCAGTGTACAATGCAGTCTTCACGTCCGCCAAGAATCAATAATTGCAAAATTGCAGCTGACTGCATACACCCTCCCATTGAAGTGCGAATGCGCCCCAACCAAAAAGCCAGGCAACGAGCCAGCCACATACACCCGCAAAGAAGCTTCTCTAGCAACTACACCGGCACAACCCGCCCCGCGTGGGCAGGAAAAGGCAGAATCTCTGCTGCGCCAGAGAGAAGCATAAAAAAGATAGCGCCTGCATCGTGTATCTTGCGGTGGTGATGGGCGGAATGGGGTGATTGATGGTTGAGACCAGAGGTCAGATCAGAGAAGAGAGGGTTTTCTTCCCTCGCCCCCCCCCCCCCCCTGCCTCTCTACCGTCTCTTCATGCACGCTCTTCGTATTCCGCACCACACCCCCAGCAAAACTGAGCCAAGCACGTGGTTCGCGGGAAAAGAAGAGGCTTACATCAATCGCGTAGGTACGAAGCGGGCGTTGGCGTAATCGTCAACGTGGGTAGGGGTTCAAAGACGGGTTGGCGTGGGTGGGTGTTCTCGTATTCCGCTTTCACTCCAAGTCCCAACAGCCTATCCACCCCGCCTTCTTCCCTCATCACTATGTATTAGTCTGTGGTTCCTATTCGCACCTGTAACGTCTGATACGGTGATTCCTCCCGTGATGCTATGCGTGATACCCTGACTGACCGTCATGGGTGGCGTGGACAAGGTATTGGGGGACCCGATCTTGAGGCTATCTGGAAGTCTTGGGTTCTTTATATGGGCGAGGGCAGTCAGATGCGGAGGGAAAAACGTGGAGGCGGGGAGGTTGCCGCGGGGCCGGCGCCGGATTTGATCCCGCGATTGCGCAAGGTAAGGTATGATAAACCTGCCAGTCTCACTTGCAATTCTATACATGTGGGTGGCCTTATTTCCCAGGTCTCTGGTGGGATTCACGACACTCGAAGCATTACAACGTCCTAGGTTTCCGAGGCAATGTGGTATCTCATTATTTTACGCCCGGATACTTGAACAATCATCATACGCCGAGTCCCTCAGCAGTCCCTTTTCTTCGCCTCATCTATCCGTGAACGCTTGGTAGACACGAAGATGTGGTGTCAACGACATTTCATACGGCGCCCAATGTTCTCGACACGACTTGGCTTTTCGGCTCCCATTACCGCGGGTTGCCCGTTTGTTGTTTGAGTCGTTCCCCAGAGCCCAAGCAATTCCCGGTGCCGCCTTTTCTCGTACTATACTCAGGGACTGATGCCCAATTCCGCATTTCTGATGCGTACCCTAGCCTCTCTCACTAAAGCCTTGGCCTCCTCAACCTCGAAGCCATCTTGCGTCAATTCAGTCCCCAGTCGGTTGGCCGTCTTGTAGTCCGCCGTCCGCATGGCGTGCTTGGCGAGCCACATTCGCGCCTTGCTCGTCGATGCCGTGACACCAGTTCCCTCGTTTCCGCCCTCCTTGCGGCCTTCACCATTACCTTCATCGTCAGATGCGCCTGGTGAGTCGTTGTGTATGGCGATCGAATCGTTCAAGACATTATCCGCGGCTTCCCCGCCCTCCTGAGCAAGACAAAGCTCCATGTAGGCCTTTGATTCCTCCTCTTCGCCGAGCTGGTCGTACATGCTCGCGATCTGGAAGAGCAGCTCTGGATCCAGGTGACCCGTCGCGCCTCTGCCGTTGAGCAGATCCCCACCGCTTCCGAAGCTGCTTCCAACGTCGTAATATGCGTCTGCCAGCAAAGCTCTCTTCAACGCCTTGATACCATCCTGGTCACGGCCCATCTTTTGCAAACACGAGCCGACGGCAAGCCACATCTTGCCATCCCAAGGTCTCAGTCCGGCTGCCTTTTTATAGTACCACAAACTGTAGGTGTGCATTTCCAACATTTCGTACGTCTGGCCGAGGCCGTACCAAGCTCGGTAGTCCCGGCGATTGACGTCGACGGCGCGTCGATACGATTCTATTGCGGCGTGGGTGTTCTTCAGCTCCACGTACTCGTGACCCATGAGTGTCCATGCTGACAGGCATGTTCGGTCGAGGGTCAACGCTCGGCGGAAATACTGCACTGCCTTTTCGTGCATGGATAGCAGTGAGTAGTAGTTGCCCACCACCACGCAAGACTCTGGCCGGAACTTGTCGATGCTCGAGCAGAGGTGCGCAAGGAAGGCAAGTTTCGGTCTCAAGTTCATGACGTAGAGAATATTGGAGTAGTGGTCTAATGACTCTAGCCGGTGGGGATGGAGAGACAGCAGTCGACTAAAATGTTGTTCAGCGGCAACGAGGTCTTTCGAATGATATGACAGCAAAGCGTTGCATGTGAGAAGGAAGGACGAGTTTGGGAAGATTCCGAGTAGTGAGTCCAACGAGTTGGCGAGTTCGGGTGTAGCCTGGTAGAGCTCGAGCGAGGTGTAGAGGTGCCAGATGAAGGAGAGGATGTTTTGCGGGAGATGCTCGGCAATTCGACTCAACTGTGCACTCGTCAGCGTTTCCAGGTTCTTGGGCACCTTGGCAGAAGCAAAGACTTACGTCGTCTATCCGGGAGATGAGTTGGGTCATTTCCAGCCAGCAGCCCCAGTTCATGGGGTACAGGTGGACGCTTCGCACGAAGTAGTCCATCGCCTTGTCTTCGTTCTTCTCCTTTGCGAGCACCATGCCGTATCTGGCCCCCAGTCAGCAGTTGCACGCTATAAGACGAGGAAAGGAGAAGCATGCCGCCTACTCACAGGTACTCCAGCCAGCCCTGGCTGCCGAGGATGTCTCCGTCGTCCGTCGTCCGCTCGTCGAACCAGTTGCTGAGGAACCGGCTGACGGCGTTCAACTGCTTGTTGACGATGTTGCCCAAATCTTGGGGTCCCATGACCATCTCGGAGTCCTCGTCCTTGCGCTTCTCCCCGGACATGAACTTTGCATACAGGGCGAGGAACAAGCTCTTTTGACTGAGCCGGGGCTGCTCGGTGCTGCTGCCGCCGGTTGCCCTCGTCGTCTCGGCGTCCCCTCTCGTCTTGGTCTTTGACTTTCCCTTGGACGCCCCCGACGGCCCATCCGCATTGGAGCTCAAAACACCGGATAATACAGAATCGGGTAGGAAGATAGCAGCACAGCGGTCAAACTCCCTTGAGTCGAAGAGGGTCTTGGCGAGTAAGTATTTGTTGATCTCTTTGGCTTCGAGGAGGGCTTCTTCGGGATCGGCATTCACAGTGAAGACTGTCGGAACGTACTGGGCATCGGAATCGGCGGGGTCGGCGTCGTTCGAAGGCTCGGGTATGGCGTTGAGAAGCTCTGCGGCCCTGGGATCGAGGTCAGCCGTGGAGTCTCTCTCTCGCAAGGGGACTTTGGAGAGCTTGCCATTTCGCAGAGGAGTATAGACACCGCTCGGAGCACTTGACTACGGCATCCTGAAGAGACTCGCGGAGCTGTGACAGCTCATTCTCGTTGAGTGACATCTCTGCGCATCCTTGGCCAGAGGGCCAAAAGCTGAGTCGCTCGGTCTTGCGCTTCCTGTCGCGTGGGTTCCAATTCGTAGGGAAGTGGATCGATACAAAGTCCAATTGAGCGCTGTTAGCTAAGGAACAGTCGCTTCTACAGTTCACTGTCTACAGCTTCAAAACGCAAGGCGGGGATTGCGAGACGTAATGCAAGGATACAGGTCTGCTGGAACTGGCGATGCGAGTGTTGTGTTTCCTTGTCCTGACGTAGTAAAGCTCAACGGCAGAAAAGGAAGCGGTCCACCCAGGATTCCCACCACGCGCCGGGCGCGACAACGCTAAAGTGACCTGCGGTGTACCTGTCCGCCCACGGTGAGCAACACAGCGTGTGCAGCCAATCCAATAAACTTTGGTGAGCTTAGGTAATTGGGACCCCGTCACGGTCTTGGAGCGGAAGTCAATTGGATGTCGTGGGGCGCCGATACCCCACTTATCCCGGCAACACCAGGGACCGTCTAGGAAATCGCCCCCCCACCGCCTGCCAAAATAGCAACTGAAGATCGGATGAGGGGTACACTTTCTCATCTTGTACGAGTTGGCTCTAATTTGACGCGGGCGCATTAATTTCGGATTGCTATCGCAAACTTGCGTAAGTAAATTTCCCAACCATCTTCTCTCTCACTTCACTCTCTCGCTACCATTGTTCGTCCACCTTTGTCTCCTTGATTCTTCCCCTTCCCTAACCCCGCTCTTCCCCCCCTCTCCCCACGAAACCTCCACTCCGTTTTCGCTCTCGTCGCTAATCTGTTCCTCGAACGCCTCCAAAAGACCGTTGCAACCAACTGCCCCCTAATCCAGCCACCCCGCCGAGCCGGCCTCAGACCACACCGCAAATCAGAACAAGATGGCCAAGAAGACTACCCTCACCGAGTTCGAGTCGGTTTTCCCTAAGCTCGAGGAGGTCCTCCTCGAGCATGCGCAAAAGTACAAGCTTCCCAAGGAGGAGCTGGCGTGGTACAAGAAGGCAAGCATTCAGCCACACCGACCCCCGACAATCCCCAACGCTGTTGCTGCTAGCACCTCCTCTGCTGTCTAAGTGATTGGATATGAGGCTATGCGTGTGAGCGCATGTGCGGCGACAATCTCATTCTCAAAGGAAAGGGGAAAACTGTAGAAGAACACCGAAGATTAACAGCCTTCCTTTGCGCCAACAGAGTCTCGAAATCAACACCCTCGGCGGAAAATGCAACCGCGGCATGTCGGTCCCCGACTCCGTCTCCCTCCTCCTCGACAAGCCCCTCTCCGAGGAAGAGTACTTCCAAGCCGCCACCCTCGGCTGGATGACGGAGCTCCTCCAGGCCTTCTTCCTCGTCTCGGACGACATCATGGACAGCTCCATCACCCGCCGCGGCAAGCCCTGCTGGTACCGCCATGAAGGCGTCGGCATGGTCGCCATCAACGACGCCTTCATGCTCGAGGCCGCAATCTACACCCTCCTCAAGAAATTCTTCCGCGAGCACGCCAGCTACGTCGACCTCCTCGAGCTCTTCCACGAAGTCACCTTCCAGACCGAGCTCGGCCAGCTCTGCGACCTCCTCACCGCCCCCGAGGAAAAAGTCAACCTCGACAACTTCAGCATGGAGAAGTACCGCTTTATCGTCGTCTACAAGACGGCCTACTACTCCTTCTACCTCCCCGTCGCCCTCGCCCTCCACTGCCTCAACATCGCCACCCCCAAGAACCTCAAGCAGGCCGAAGACATACTCATCCCCCTCGGCGAGTACTTCCAGATCCAGGACGACTACCTCGACAACTTTGGCCTGCCCGAGCACATTGGCAAGATCGGCACCGACATCATGGACAACAAGTGCAGCTGGCTCGTCAACCAGGCCCTCGCCATCGCCACCCCCGAGCAGCGCACCATCCTCGAGGAGAACTACGGCCAAAAGGACAAGGCCAAGGAGGCCGTCATCAAGAAGCTCTTTGACGACATGGAGCTCAAGCGCCGCTTCGAGGAGTTCGAAGAGAAGCGCGCCGGCGAGATCAAGGATATGATTAACAACATTGACGAGAGCGAGGGCCTCAAGAAGGGCATCTTTGAAATCTTCTTGGCCAAGATCTACAAGCGCTCCAAATAAACTTACGACAAAAGTATAGTTACTAATGCAGGGGGGGGGGGCGCGCGCGCGCGCGTGTGTATTTGGCGCGGCATCATGTTACAAAGTCAGGAGCGGATTCTGCATGTGGAAGATTTTAGAGAAGAAAAAGAAGAAAGATAGATACCAGAGTCCAATTGATTGACGATGATGACACCAACCCAAACAATAGAACTGTTAGAAAGCATGAAAAAAAAATCGTATTAAGAGTTTTACAAAGGAAAATGTCCCCGACTATGGGGTACCTAGTAAGGCAGTCGGGTAGATAAACTAAACGAAAACAAAATGTTTTCGTCTTTTTGCTTCCCCTTCCAAAAGCTTTTTTGTGACCGACATGCTTTGTCACGTCAACATCCGGGTATCTTACATGTTAAATGACACCACCCTATGCGCCCTAAATCGCGCCCACTGCAATATCCGCTCTCCCGTTTCTTCTTTTACTCTTGGTTTTACAATGTTGGTAGCACTTTCCAGTCTTCAGCAAACCGCCGCCTCCATCCGCTCTCGTCATCCCTCAGTGCCTGACGGTGCCACTCCGCCCGAGACCTTGCGACATGCCCTGCGACATGCGAGGCCTCGTATCGCGGCCCCTTTCGCGTTCCACAAAGTTGATGAGCGGAACGTCATCGTCATCCCTTCTCGACGATCGTCGCGGCATGGACGGCATGGGAGGCTGCTGCTCATTGGAAACCACACGACGTACAGCACCGCCGCCTGCCGTGGATCGACTCCTTGGTCTCGAAGCGGCCGACTGCGACGCCATGCGCTGGGGAGGATACGCCTTTGCCGTGCCCATGCGGGTGACAGTCGGCAGCTGCGGCCCTAGGTGTCCATCTGGCAGCTCCAGCCCCGTCGCCATCTCGATCAGGGGCTTCCCGGTGGGCACCCGTACACCGCGACCTTGACCATCTCGCCAAGCTGCGGGCAGGTCGGGCACCTTCGGCGTGAGGTCGACAAGAGGTTGCGGCATCTCTCGTTTTCCTGAAGATGACCCGCCGTCTGATGTCTTGGGACGCGATGAGGTGGTCGGGCGTCCGGCGGGTGGCCGTGATCGACTCCGAGGCTGGGGCATAGGGTCCGTCGCCGTAGGACGAGACGAACGCACCGTGCCTCTTCTCTGCGGCATCCCGCTGTTTTCGTGTTCCGGGAACTGACCGAGCAGCGAGTGCCCACCGGTGAACGGACTCTCAACTGCATATTGTTGATGATCTGCGGTGGCAGCAGCCTTCTCTGCTTGCTGCTTGCGTCCCTCGTAAGCCTGGCCTAGCAAACCGCCGGATTTGAACTCGTCTTTGGCAAAAGGGTCGATGAGTCTCCTTGTCTGAGGCTGTGACAGATTCGGCGTGGTCCTAGATCGAGAAACAACCTTTTGAGACTGGATATGTCTGGGTGTGGAGTGATGGTCCGCCGGACGGGCCGTGGGCTTGTTGTCCAAATCCTTTCCAAAATCGTCAATCGGTTTCTCGAATCTGTCCATGTCCAGGAGTGGAGAGAACGTTCCAATGGTGTATGGCGTCTCTTCGGTGGATGGCCGGGGCCGGTGCAAAGTGCCGCTTCGTGTAAGACCGCCGCCGCCCGTTTTTGTTCCGCTTCTCGCACTGCTGCTGTGGGTAGATGCCTTTTTCTTGTTCAAGTCGACTATCTTGTTTGCGATGTACCAACTACGCCACCCTTGCACGACTCTTTGGAAGTCTTCCGCGAGCTTGACATCGTCCGTGGCGAAGAAGTGAATGAAGTTTTCCGTATTTTGGAAGACTGTTGATTTCTGTTGACTCTTGATGGCAAAGCAATTCTTCTTTGGAGCTCTAATCTGCTTCAGCATGTCCTTTTCGGTGACTGTATATAAGTCAAAGTCGGACAGATGGCAGAGCGAGACGGCATCCTTGTCCGACAGTTTGGCATCCTTCTTCTTGGCCGAAAACATCTGCCCAGTCTCCAGGAGCGTGACGTAGCGTTTGTTCCATTTACCGGGCCGCTGAGAGTGGTATAGCGCGAAGTTGATGAGACCTGGGGGCGGATCGATGGTGCGGGGCACACTTTCGATGTTCAGGTCGGGGTTCTTGTCCGTAGGTTCACCCGGTACGATGAGTAGGCAGTGCTGCGTATCGCGGTCCCAGGAATTCATCACAAGAGCCACTGGCTCATAGCGTCTCAGGCGGCGTTCCAGACCAAAAGCAAAGTAGCACTCGAGCACGACACTGGTTTGCGGGTTGATATTGTGGGTCATGAGGTTGGCGGCCGAGTATAGAATCTCACTCGGGGTAGTATCCGGGGTGACGGGAAGACTGATTGACGACTGCATGCAACGTATCGTCACTCGCTATGAGAGAAGAAAATTAGCAAAAAGATGAGGGTCAAGATCATGATCAGTGTGTGGGAAAGACTCACGCGTTCTCCAGCATTGCTGGCAGAGGTCGGGGCATCTGTCTGAGGGACAATGCCGCCACCACCGGCTTGTATAAAGCGGGAGGGGTCCATGACACTGACGGGCCTGTGGTCGAGGGTGAGGGGTTGAAAATATTGAGAGGGAGGTTTGCTGAGAGTAGTGGCAGGGTCGGACTTGCGACCCTTTCTCAAGAAGAAGGTGAACTTGTCGACAATGGGGCTCCGAACACGGGAGGCTGGTGCGTCGGGTACGGCAGCCAATTGAGCCTGGAGTCGAGCGAGGTCCTTTGCCTTTTGGTCTGCCAATTGAGCCGAGAGTCTCGCAAGGTCTTTTGCCTTTTGGTCTGCTAAAATGCGATCGGTCTCTGCTTCAAGACGAGCAACCTCTTCGGCCCAGCGAGCAGCGTCCTCCTCTTCCTGTTCTTTGCGACGTCGGTGCTCCTCTTCTTCCTGAGCGAGCAATTGCTGGTGTTGTTGGTGGCGCCGGCGCTGTCGATCTTCTTCTTGACGGGCAAGTTGCTGGTCCCAGTTGGGGTCGTTGCTGCTGTGGAGTTCCTCCTTGTTGGTGTTGCTGTAGGTGTAGTAGTTGTTGTCAGGGTCGGGTTGGAGAGCGAGCTTGGTGATGATTTGAGAGCGAGCGTGTTCAGCCCTAGCAGCGAGCTTCAGGTCGGCGCATGACGAGTGGGAAGAAACCAAGATTGGATTGTGCGAACGAGGGCGCAGATGGAGACCGGGTGGCGGGACGAGGTCGCGTGCTCGGGTATGATGTGCCTGGGCTTGGACTCTGGCTTGGCCTTGAGCCGGGAAGGGCAACGGAAGCAGTCCCAGTCCCAGTCCCAATCCAGGAGGAGATGGTTGTGTTGGATGTAATAGCGAGTGTGGTGGTGGAGGGTGATGCGGTATTGGCGGCGGTGGTGTAACTGGTTCAAGTGGTGCCGTTCCTTGGAATCCTTCTCCTGGCGCTGGCGCAGAAGCAGATGCAGGCGCAAGTGCGAATGCGCGGACGACTGGAACTGCTGCGACTGCGCGTAGTGGTGGTGGTGTAGGAGGTACTGTCGTCAGCGGTGTTGGTGGTTGTGGTACAAGGAGGTTCGGTTTCGGTGCCGCAGACCAAGGAGCAGAAGCAGACGCATCAGCAGCTGACGCTGGCGCTGGTGGTAATAACGCTGATCCTGCAGACGGGGCCGGCGGACAGGGGCCCAAGGCATACAAAGGGGCGGCCTGAGTGGAGGAAACCCCTGGAACCCCTGGAACCCCTGGAACCCCTGGGGCTGGGGACGTGGACCCGGAATAGGATGGCGCTAGGGAGAATAGGGAACCCGGTTCGCTTGGGGGTCTGGGGCCATAGGGGCCGCATGCGTCTGTTCCAGTTGCACTCCCATCACCAGTAATACAACTAGCACGACCACCCGCAGGAGATGACCTGGTATCCGTAGTCGTAGTAGTAGGGGATTTGGGAGACGAAGAAGGCGGCGAAGAAGAAAAAAAAGGAGGAGACGAGCTTCCATGCAAGGGGCTCCAGCTGTCGTCGAGATCCGGTTTGGGGGCCGTCTTGGTTGGTCGCCGTCGATTGGGATAACTGAACCGCACGGGGGACTCGGGAGGGGCTGGGACCGCCATTCTTTTTCCACCGCCAACCGCACCATCTCCAGCATCAACACCCCCACGACAATAATAACTCGCACCACAGCCTTCATCTCCTGTTGTTACTGCACCACGACTGACCGAAGAATTCTCGAAACCAAACGGAGACGAACCGTCGCTGACGCCGGTACCGGCCATGAGATCGGGCCACTGCCATTGCATCGTCAACTGCGGTGCTCCCGATGGTGTCTGCGGCGGCGGCGTCGACAGCAACGGCGCCGTTCGTCTCCTCCTTGCCGACGAAGCTGGTGTTTGCTGCTGTTGTTGCTGCTGATGCTGTTGCTGATACTGACGATGCGGCGACGAGACCGATATCTGTCCATCATCACCAGCAACGCCACTCTCCTCCTCCTCGTCCACGGCAATCCCAATGCCTAGACCCAACGCAATGCTCGTCGCCGTACCCGTCTCGGTCGTGGCATTCGACATCGTCTCGTCGTCCTGGAAAATATCCACCTCCCAGTCCCGCCAGTTGCGTCCAAAGTCCAGCACGCTCTTGTGCTCCCGCACGCTCCTATACCGCGTGAGCCTCCCGGCGGTGACGCTCTGGCCCCGTCGGGGTGGATGCGGCGCGGGCGATTTCGGTGGCCCTGGGCCTGCCGACATGGTGCGATTAATACGCGGAAACCCTTCCATGGTGGGTGCGTGTGTGTGGGTGCGCGATTTGTGTGTAAAGTAATTGTGTTATTTCGTTTCCAGAGCTCGTTTCCTCCTTCTCTCCCTCGACAGCGTCTTCGTCGTTGCCAATATCCTTTCCCTTGAACCGTTTGCCCGATGTGATGCGATGCTAGACAGGGTCTCGAAATCAGAACCCCGGATTTTCTCGTCCGATGGCGTCGATGGTAGCAGCGACGGCGTTGTGCGGCTGCGGCCCAGTCCGCTGGAACCTTGGAACCCTCCGAGCTGATCGCCCCCAGCCCAACAGGGAACACTTGAACGTTATCTTGCAGCCTTTGCCCTTTTTTTCCCCTGCCCTTGATTGCTGCTGCGGTGCTGCCCCAGGACCCTGTAGATCTCTCTGCAAGTGATAGATAACGAAAGATGAGATTGATAGGGGGTGGTCCGTCCCGACAAAACTTGTTTTTTCGGTTCCCGGGTAGGGAAATCTTTGACGGGGGTTCGCAAAAAGTTAAAAGTAAAAATAAGATGTGAGTTAATATTGATTAGATTAGGTGGCTACGATAAGGTAATAGCACTTTTGAGTTGAAGCAATAAGCAAAGTAAGTAAGTTGACGATGATGAGAAATTTAGTTGTCGTGTCGTACAAGCAAAAGACGACGTTCGTTGATGCAGGCAGCAGCAGGCAGGCAAAACCAGGAGCAAAAAGCGAAGGAGGAAAGAAGGAAGGGGAAAAAAAGAAAATGTGGCAAGACCTCTCCTTCCCATAAGTCGGGGCCCTACCTTCCAAGACGGAAGGCAAGGGAGACTTTTTACATCTCTCCCAGGAATCGCCTCATCTTTTCACTCTATTCACCTTACCTTACTTTACCTTACCTGTTCGCCATTCAGCACTCAGCAGCCCACGCGTCAGCTGAAGGGGGGGGGCATGTGTGGCCAGAGGCATGCAAAGCACAACGAGAGCGCGACACCGCACGTCCTTTGCCAAATGCCAGTCGTTCTTCGTCCAATCTGCACCCCATAGAAGATGGATTGTGGTTCAGGAACGAGCAGGCAGGCTCTACATTCCAGACCACATCCCCGACTCCCTCTCAACGTGTCAGTGTTTACAGTTTCTCCCATACGATTGACGCGACCTCGGCCTGGGCAGAATCCTCCGTGAGCGGTGAGCCCGTGTAAGCAGGGTTGTAATTTCAGCGAGATGCAAAGGTCACGGTTTTGAAATTGCTTCACGTTGCTCGTCATATTGCGTATGATTTGCCTTGGAGCGCTCCAATATTGGCTGACAGTATCCCCTCGCCCTTTAAGGTAACTTAGCTGCCCGGTCCAAGTTTACACACTTCGCCATTTCTCCAATTTCTCTTCCATTCCCTTTATGTCCGGGAACCGCCCAATGTACACGCATCGTGGCAGTGAGCTGTAAGTTGCTTTTACCTTCGCGGGTTAACAGTCACAAAGGAACAAGAACACCTTGATGCCTAGGATTTTATAAAGGAGTAAATTTTTAATCACGAAAGAGGTTTTACTATGCTTGGAGCTTTATACTTCGGGTTCTGTACGTAATCTCATGTTTTGTTTTTCTTCCTCGACGTTGTTCTTTTTCCAACTCTATCGATCTCTGCTTTAGTGCCCGCTCAAGACAAGTCAAACAGCCTAGACCCATATCTGCCACTTATCGATGTCTCTGCCCATCGATTGAACCATTGCGATTCAATATCATGCCAGCATCGTGTACAAAATCGAAGAGAGACGGGCACATCACGTCTGCAACCAGAAAGGCCCTCATCCCGTGGACAACCCCCCCCCCCCCCCCCTCCCCCCTTCATCACGCTGTTGATCTAGTTGGTTGGAATCTGTGCACCAGAACTGTCCAGATAGACACATCTATCCCAGTGAGACAAGATGGAGCCAGATTCAGTGCCGGAAAGCATGCACCTCACGCCTCCACCACCCAATAAAGTCACTCGTCGACACATCAATGCCCAGATCCTTGAGAGCCCGCGTGCTGAGATGACAGTCATACGGCCGCTGCACGCTCGCATTTGGGTCGTTGCCCTCCGTGTTGGCAATGATGCCGTCCATGGAAAGGTCCATGATATCTGCAAACTTTTGGCAAATCTCGTACTTTGTCATCCTGTCCTCGCTAGAGAACTGCAGGATCCTGGGGAACGAGCTGCGGTCATCGGCCCCGAGGTACTTGTCGGCGATATCTGTACTTCTGTCAGCCATGATCTCTCGCCTCTCAATTAGGCCTGCAATTACCGTGACACACGCGCCCAATATCCTCCGTGTTGGTCGGATACCGAATAGCCCAATGATCCATCTTCACCTTGGCGCCCCCGTCCTGCGTCTTCCACAACGTGTCCATGAGCACGTTCGTCGCGCTCTCCGCCGGCGTGTCCGCCTTGCCGTACAGCACAGGCACACGGAGGACGAGGCCCAGCCCCGCGGCGCCGGGCCCAGCGGCCTCGTACTCCTCCAGCACGGCGCGCTCGCCGTCCAGCTTGGTCTGGCCGTAGAGGTTCGTCGGCCCCGTCTGCGCGTCGGCCTCGTAGGGGGCGTTCCCCTGTTTTCCGGAGAAGACGTAGTCGGTCGAGATGTAGATGAGCAGGGTCGAGCGGGCGGCGCAGAGCTTGGCGAGGGACCGCGTGGCCTCGACGTTGAGAGCGCGGGCGGCGTCCGGGTCGCTGTCTACCTTGTCTGGGAACCTCTGGGCGGCGCCTGTTTATACTTTTGTGTGAGTGTGTGCTGAGGTTTTGGTCTCATGAGGAGACGTTGGTTTACATACAGTGCACGACTACCTGAGGCCTGGCATTGTGTGTCAGTAACGTATGGTCTTGGACAAGCATGAGAGCGGCAGCCTCACTTGGATCCGTCGAGGAACTTTTCAACTTCAGAGGTCTTTCCGAGGTCGACTTTGAAGACGGAGACACCGTCGGCGCGAGAGTATCCCGTACCTTTGACGTTCCAACTCTTCATATCAAACGCCCGCGATACCTGTCTTCCGAGGAGACCAGTGGCTCCGGTCACGACCACGTCTTTGCCCGCCATGTTGTTGAAATAAAAGTGCGTCCTTGGTGCAGGAGGATAGTTTCTAAAGTGAAGTAGAGTCTACACGGCTCCTCAATGATGTCTTCCAAACGATTTGCGTCAGGTCAAGTGTCGACCAAAATGTCATTTAATTACATGGAAAGCTCTGGTACCGTCGACTACCCCGCGGTGGGGTTCCGCGACCCGATCGTTGCGGGACACTCAATTGGGCCAACTCGCATAATTACATCATCCTCATCTAATGCATATTCCATCCAAGGGCTTGCTCCTGCTTCATCACGGCTTTCACCCAACTTCTTCTCAACTTCAGATGAACACATCCATCGCGTGAATTGGCAGATGGCACAGATGATCCCGATGTACTTTCAGAGAAGAGATTGATGGTGGGGGGAGGGGCCAGCCTGTGAAAGTTGACGTTCCAAAAGAAGGCTCGCCTCGATTTCTGGAATCGTACCCAATTTGACATGATCTACGGGCAGGCATGCGGCTACGCGACGCCTCGTGCCGAGAGACTCGGCGGCAGGCAAGAGGGGATGCATCGCACTTTTCGGCGGCATCGTCGTTTCGTCTTTCTGGGCTCGGTGGTGGACGGACCACAGCTGAAAAATGCCGTCAACCCTCAAGGTCGAGTCATGGCAAGTCTTTCGACGATGTTCCGCCTACACCGTAATGATACTAGGCCCGTTTCTCGCAGCTCGCGATATCTCGTGTCTAGGTGCAGTGCTTTCACATATCCCAAACATCTGACAAGGCATCATGTGGTCTAGCAGCAAGGTTGGACAGCACCTCCAGATACGTGATACCGTACCATAAAGGAGATCATCTCGGAGAGATTCGAGCGACTAGCACTGATCGAGCCACGGGTTCTGGGCCGATCATGTTTCCCTTCAGCGGTCTACCTGAGCTTTGCGCTCTACGTTATCCGTGCCATCTCTCCTAGATATGCGCCCTTCTAGTTCCGAAGCATGCACAGGGAGGCCCTCGCCAAGCCCAGCATACGATCATCCGACCCATCTTCTCTTCGAGTATGGCTTGCGCAGCGGGGGGCCTGACTGCCTATTCCCTATGAAAAAGAAGATTTCTTGACCAACTTCTAATACGAAGAAACGTCAAAAGCCCCCAATCAGCGACCCTGTCCCAGGATGATCTATCGGAGCATGATACGAGTAATTCAGGGCTAAGTACATATGCAGCGCCGGCATATGCACAGTACAGTTGGAGAGGCAATAGCGCCTTGAACGGGCAGAACTCAAATGGCCAACTACCATTTATATCATTCGATGAGCAGACGACGAAGGAAGTTCGCAGGATTCAATCCTGGTCTGCTTCCAAAAAAAAAAAAAAAAAGATAAGACACAGAGAGAGTGACGGGGAGAAAATAGCGCGATGCCACGACTCGGTCCGGCATGCGCAATATCACTAGAAACATTCTTCAAAACTTGGAAAGTTGGACAGTGGTCTCTCACCGGCCCAATTCTCCACTCCGAATGGGATCATTCTTCCACCCGTGGAATAAGTAACTTGGGTATTGCGACTGTTCATTCAAGAAAGAAAGAAAAAAAGAGAGGACGAAGGAGCTGAACAGCTCTTTGACAGTGTCACAACAGGGAAGATCGCTGTCGTATTTGGTTGGCGGCGGTTAATGCCATGCTTTTTATCCCTTCCGGTGGGCGACTGCAAAACCTCTCTGCCATCGTTGCCGCATTCCAAGTTATTTTCCTTCGGAATACTACCTACTGCGATTCATGTAGGTTGATGTGTAGTCAAAAACGGGGTCGCTTGAGGTTGCGTCGTTGCGAACTCTTTTGCAAGTTGCAGAGCCGCGAAGACTCGTAAGCCCAGATCACACGGGGCAATACCGCAGGTTTGACATTGGCCATTCATGCAATGTCAAAGCGGTGAGGTTCCATTGAACAAGTGTCAAGTTGAGTGACAAAGTTTCCAGGTGGGGGGGTGGGGGGTGCGTGAACTGTCTATTTCTGTTTCCTGGGTCAGCTTCATGCTATAACACGGCATCTTAATACATGCAATCCCAGTGGAGGGTTTCTCTTTGGTCTATCTAGTTGTCAAAGGTATCAACAGGACGTTCTTCGCTATGTATTTGGTATTCTTGTGTACATGATCATCAATAGGAAAGGCTTGTATCAGAAAGTATAAATAAAAAAAGGATCCCGCCTTCTTTCTCAGAAACTTCCCGAGCTTGTCGTCGAATATAGCTTTGCGTCGTAATCGCGTTTACCAGGAACTCCAGCCCCCGTATCCCTAGGCGCAGCATCTCTCCTCCCACCACCCCCTCGCGGCGTCGAATCCCGTCGTTCGTCGTACACGATATTCACTTCCGTCGTGCGCATGATGCCGTCGTACGTCATAATCTCCTCCTCGCTCGTCGTGGGCGAGTGGCCCCGGATCTCGGACCGGCCCTTCATGCTCTTGAGCTGGAAGGCGTCGGCGGCGTTGCGCGTGGTATTCGAGCGGCCTCTGGTGCCAGTGGTCGCCGTCGCCGTTGCCACCGTGTTGCGGGACTTCTTCGTCGGGTCGCCGCTGCGGTTGTAGCCGCCCCCGTAGCGGCCGTTGGAGGAGCTCTTGAGGGAGGCGAAGAACTTGGGGAACCAGCGGAGGAAGAGGCCGCGCAGCGCCGGGGCCGAGGCCGTGATGATGGCTAGGTTCGTCTCGACGGCTGAGTAGGTGAAGCGGATGTCGTAGGTCGGGTCTTGCTGGTTGATGTGGTATGATATCTCGATTAGCCATGCGAGGCGGAGGACGCTGACGGCAGTGACACTGCAAGATAGGATGTATTAGAAAGGAGTTGTGTCCAAAGTTGATATGTCGTGATTCGTATGACTTACACAGCTCCGAGACCAAAGACTGCAAGGAGCGCCATCTTGATGCGGAGAGGCATCTTCAGCCCGAGAAAGATCCAGAATGGCAAGGCCAGCGCCAGCACGTCGGTGAAGATGGTGAGGGAGGCGGTGCTGACGTAGAAGGCGGCCATGTCGATACACTTGCCCTCCGTCGGCGGGTTCCGGCCCGCCTTTTCCCAAAAGTAGCTGATGGGCTGGCACTGGAGGATGATTGTCGTGAAGATGGCGATGCCGAGCGCAATGTTGAAGACGTTGAGCGCGTGGATGGCGTACCGGACCGACCTCTTCTGGCCGCTGAGCCGCAGCAGGAACATGAGCACCGACGTCTTGACGATGGCTAGGATCGGGTTGTACAGCAGCTGTATGATGTAGTTCCAGAGGCTGCCGAGGCGGCTGTCGGCTTCTAGAGGTATATCGTAGACGTGGATGCCGATGAAGCCTAACCGCATTCCCATGTATGATGCTGCCGTCTCGGCCATGGAATCTGCCTGAAAGGGTTCATCGTCAGTTACCGCCTAGAGATGTATATTTGAGCTTCCAAAGCTTACCATTGCGAAACATATCAAGCCATCGTCTGGAGTGCCCAAGGTTAGCCATCAGGCATTGGGAGAAAGAGTTGTACTCATATCGAGAGTCTCTTCGGTCAAGAACATTTCTTGGATGTACTTACCCCAGCCGAACTGTTTAGTCGTGACTCGACTGTATACCCGTAGGCCTACTACTAGAAGAGCAATCGTCGGAAAGAAGAAGAGCACAAAGAAACCGGTATGTTGCAGAGACGAGTAAGGGTACGGGTAGTCGTCGGTGATGGGAGGCAGCGCCGCTGAGGTGCTGCTCGTGTCCCTCAACTGAGCCGCGTGGATTAGCGCCGCCACGGCCTGCGACATGTTGAATTCTCCCGGTCTCTTGTCGAATTGAGAATTGTGCCAAGGTATAGACCACTGACTTATTCCAAGCTCAAGAAAGCCTTGGCCAATAAACGGGGGTCAGATATTTGATGCGAGGGCGTGGAAGACGGTTCAAAAAGACAGGATGGGGATAGAGGTAGATTCTATATGCCATTGCTCCCCTTGGGTAAGACTGCAGCTTGCTTGGAAAGGAAACGACTTTTTCACACTCTTCTTCCACGTCTTGGATCAGAAGACGTACAACTCAGGTAGGGGTTGCCACGGAGGGCAAGAAAGAGACAAGAGATATTTGGACACCAAGATGCAATGAGAAAGGTCAACCTATCTCTGTCTTCCCAGACTTGCAGCAAGACAGGGCCGGGATACAAGAGAAGGAAACGGAATAGCGGCGGGCAGGCAGACAGGTAGGTAGGGCCAATCGAGGAGGACCTCTCGGTGGCCTCTGCCCTCTCCTCTGAACAGCTTTACACTAACTATGGCGGCCCTGGCTTTCCAAAACAGATCCTGTTACCAGTCATGTGGGTGTGGCCGTGGGAAGAGAAACTGGAGCTGCTTCTGGGAGATGGACGGAGGTGGTGGTTAATCCCTACACCATGGATTCTTCTTCCACACACCCCCTTGGATCCTGCTGCTTTACGTCTGGCAAGGATATCTTTTTCACAGGCCAAGAGTTCGATCGATATCCTTGTGTCGGACACTCAATTTGTGAACAATGTCGGTCCAGCCCCCAAGCCGATGTCGAGGGGTCGAGGAAGAACCCAGAAGTTTGGAACTTTCTTCCAAGTTCCACAACATCCCGCCGTCGATCTATGTGAGAATTTGTTGCTTCTCAGGTGCCCGATGTCAGTCAGCGCTGTGACTAGCGACCGTTGAGACTACCAAGCGTCAGTGGCGTAGCAAGAAAGCAACCGTCCCGTCCATTCCACACCTTCCATCTTCTTTTCTGACAGCTTCTGGGTGTTGCGAAATGGTCTCATGTCTGTGAGTTCCCGTCAACAAGCTTACTTGACAAAGATGGGGAGAGGGGGGGATGATCGGGTTGTACGGATAGACTGTAGATGTCCAGTGACTCCAGCCTGGAAGTGGAGAGAGAGGGGCGGATGTGTTCCCCCCGTCATGCTGCCCAAGGAGGAAAAGAACCCGAAGCCGCTCGCATTTGCCCCCTCCTATGCTACTTCGTGGCGCGAAGGAGCAGGTTGCTGTGTAAATTAAAGGCGATTCTCGCTGTACAAAGGCCGCCGGCCTGTAGAACCAGACCGTGGGCCTGGGGGTGTGAGCGAGGACTACGAAGGTGGGTTGCTTGCAGAGATCGCGGGCGGCCCATCTGGCAGGCGTGGAGCACTGGAGCTTCATCGGGGTAGCATTTCCTTGGAGACTCTGGGTTATCGAACGATGGCTGAAGATTGACGTCCAGTCACTCGTGGGGCCAGACTGGGGGCTTTGAGTTGTCACAGTTGTGTACTTTATGAGTGGTGGTGATGTAGGGAGTACATCGAGACACTTCGTATAAGTTGAGCTGGGACTTGTTGGTGCCCAGGACCGTGGCCGACGAACCCACGTTTCCACGCCGAATCCCGGGACGCAGGTACACTGGGGTTCCGCAGCAAGTTCGGACCAGGTGAAACCAACCTGGAATTACACACTATCTGACCGTACGCTGAGCTTGGGAACCTGGAACTTTTCGCTAGCGCGGCTGCGGCCGTCGTTGAGCGAATTGCTGAGTTGGGCACCGAGCCGCGTTCTCTTCCTCTGCATGCGATGCATACGAAAGTACATGGATCCGTACGAGAGGATGTATGGGTAGGCAGTAGGAATAGAGGCCCCGCCTCGGCCTTCGACGCATAACCAGGGGGGCAACAGGACGAGAGAGCGATGTAAACTTGTAATAAAGCAGGAATTCGGAAGCCGAGATTGGCGAATGTGGCTAGACTCTCTGTTTCTTTCTCTCTCCCGAGGCCGACGGGATCGGGTTCATAGTTGTTATTCAAAATTTTGTAGCCTCTGAAGAGTGAAGACTAACGAAAATTCCTGAAGAAACCCATGCATGGCCACCGGCGGCGCAGCAGATTATCCACGGGAAGTCCCATGTCTCTCGGCTTTCCCACGTTGACGTGAAGAAGAAAGAAAAAAAGACGCAGGTCCGTCGGGAACTTTGCGACTGCCGTGCTGTCCCACCTATTTCCTGCTTGCTTTGCCGCAACCTCGCGGTGGCGTGTTGAAGAACTTGCTGTCTAGAATCTGACATCGACTTGTCATAGACGTCCATCATCGCCAAACGTTCATGGATGGCACTGCCTTTCCAAATAATACCCCAGAACACGCCTAGCTAGGCGCCGAAAGTTCTAGCCGATAAGATATCGGAAAACCCGTATTATTGCAGAGATCCAAAGGTGGTCTTTGCTTTGAATGATCACCTCGCGGGAAGACAGGGCGCGGCACCCGATGGTCCGACAGGATTTGCAAGTCCGCTGCCCCCGCCGAGCATGTATTAATTCGCCCTCAATCTGTTCTGCGCGGGACAGGGGTTGCCAACACCCGGGCCAGTCTCCCTCCATGTCATGCATGCCGACCAACCGGCAGGCAGACATGTGAGGAAGAAAAGAAAGAAGGAGTTTCGGCCTAGAGTTGATGTTACTGCAACATGCCGCAGAATTGTTCTCTCAGGCCCTTCCTCTTCTCTTGACAATTTCGGATGAATGTTCGCTCAGTAAGCCCTCCCTTTCGTCGTTGCGAGTATTCATTTCCGTAATGTGGGCGGCCAACGAACTTCACACACAACTCAGCAATGTCATCGTGACAGGCTTAAGCTTTCGTCTCAAGAGGATAAGAAAAAAAGGGATGACGAGTTATTTACGAACCTATACACGTCGGGAGCAAAACGAAACAGCCGGATCGTGGGCATAACATGGAGAATCCCTCTCTCTTTATCAACAGCGTCTCCGCCATCACCAACCCCTTGGTACATGTCTGAATCGCTAGTGAAATACTTTCCACAGTCCTTGAGGCTTGTGCTTATCTTTGCGCCAGGAGTGACTGTGCCTTGATCACGAGGTGACCTCTCTGTTCTTTCCCAGAGCCAGCCGAACAAGGAGAATTGTGCGAGAAAAGGATTTCGGGGACTTTGTGTAAGACCGGCTTCAACCGTGCTGTCTCTTGACCAGCCGAATCTGGCAACTGGCTGGGATACCGCAGACAGCTTATGGGGGGGCCTATAACCCTTGCGATGAAGAATCCTGCGTATGCAAATCTCCCATACGAAATAGATGCACGCCCGAGCTAGTGTTGGTTGTTGTTGTGTGCCCGTTGTGGACCTAAAGGCGAATAGCAAAACGGACCAAGTGGGACCTTTCGTGGAGTAAGAAGAGGGAAAAGAAGCAATGAAAAAGACGAGAAGCTTGGGAGTGTTGCAGAAGTTTTGTTGGAATGTAACAACTTGACTCGCTCAATAGACGTTACCTTACCTAAAGTTTTACTCTCAGCTCAGACAGTTCATCCAATTTCAGAGTCTTGAGAAGTCAACACAACAAGACATGAACTGACATGCCTTTACCTGCCCACCTGAATATTCCCATGTGACGAGTACTCATTCCGAGCGGATTTCCCAAGCTAGACTCTCGCTCCGTCGACCGTTGACGCGCACTGGCATGATGTAAGTCGGCGAACCAACCAACCGACCGGCCGGCCACCTTGCGCCGGCTCGCAGCAACTTGCAAGACCAAGGGCCGAGTTGGCAACTGTACATGCAAGGGCCGGAGCCATGATGCCTGGGGGTGGAAGGGTTGCGGGGGGCCACCATCTCGGCCAAGGCTGCCAAGATCCAGGCTACGATGTGCAACGTCTAGCCACTCAACGGACGCGCAGTCCGCACCGGACCCTTGCCGGTGCCGACTCCAAGTGGAGATGAAGCTGCAGGTCTGTTGGACCGGTCAGGTCCTCTCCTCTCTCCTGTGACTACGGAGTACTGCGTGTGAGTGACTTTCTCGTGTTGTCCTAACTCCAAAGTCCATGAGACTCTTTGGCAACGGCTCCGAACATGGCAACCTCGCCTCCAGGATTGCCCCTAACCCATCATCTCCCACGAGGAGGTCAGCATTGTTCATCTCCCTCGGACGGGGTCTCGTCTCTTGTGGGATTTCCTCCAATGCCTGTTATCGACGAGCACATCTGACCAATTCTGGGACCCCAGACAAAGGATGCTTGCGACGCATCCGCCGCTATCAGTTGTTTTGGGGTGCTCTCGGCCGTCAATATTGGACTCTTCCTCGTCCTGGACCTTTTGCCCCCTTCGCGCCCCCCCTCTTCTGGCTTCCTGAGAAAGGCATGGGTTATACAGGTAATGCAGAAGAGCCCTTGCAAACATTGCCTCTCGGCCGTGGACCGTGGATGCTTTGACCTACGTTAATCCGCAATAAGGTAATGCCTCCCAGACGTACAGCAAGACTATTGCCATCGAGCCCACTCCTGCCCGCTATTATACCTCGTCGTCCACCGTTCGATTCCCTTCTAGGTGGCATAGCAAGGCCATTTCCATGTTGGTTCTCGTCGTCTGCAAACGGGTCTCCCACCGCTTCGGCCTCTCTGCCGCCCCTTCCAGTCGTCTAGTATCAGTCCAACGTTCCATTTGCTCATCTCGGTCTCCACGCGTTCACCCCGCTGTCGCCGTTGGGAGAACCGCGAATTAGATCTGCGAGGTCTTATATTTGAAGCACTTCGTCCCATCTCTATTGATTGTCCCTTCCTGCTCCCCATCCGTCCATCAGCAGTACTCGCGTCTGAATCCACGTGGCAACCATGTCTTCGATGCGTTCCCTCTTGACGGCGGCTCTGCTGTCTGCTGGCCACTTGGCTGCGGCTCAGACGATCGTCGTCGACGGCCAAGAAGTTGGTAAGTACTACACTACCTGCTTGAACCATCAAGGACTGAAGTGACTGACTTATACCCCTTAGCCGCCGACGCCTCGACCGTTGCCCCGGCTGCTGAGGTTGCTGACGTCTCCATCGCCAGCACCTCCGCCGGTCTCTCTGACGGGGAAAAACTTCAGCTCACCGATGCTGTCCTCTCGAACCTCACAGCGCTCCAGCTGTCTAACATCTCCCTGTTTGGCTTCGAGGACGGATCCTCGGTCGAGAAGAGATCGCTCTTTGGTCGATGCAAGACATACCCCGGAGACATACTGTACCCGATCGGTCTCGTCTGGAACATCTTCGATCTCCTCCTGGGCGGCGCTCTCACCAAGACCATCCCTGAGGCCTCTGTCTGCTATGACGACTTTGGCAATTATGACCAGGCCAAGTGCGACTTCTTGACCGCCAACTGGGTCAACGGGTCGTACTACCACACCGAGGACCCCACGGCCATCAATGCCGTCCTCTTTGAGGGCCTGAACTGCATGCCCCCAACTGTCAACGTCGGTGAGACCAACTGCAAGGTTGGTGGTCTGCCCTCCTACGTCGTCGAGGCTACCACCGTCGCCCATGTCCAGCTAGCCGTCAACTTTGCCCGCAACCTTAACCTCCGCCTCGTCGTCAAGAACACTGGCCACGACTTTGGCGCAAAGTCCACCGGCTACGGTGCTCTGTCCATCTGGACACACAAGTTCAAGAACATTGACTTCTACGAGAGCTACCAGCAGGACTCGTACAGCGGCCCTGCTTTCAAGCTCGGCGCCGGCGTCCAGGCGTATGAGATCTATGAGGCTGCCAACAAGTACGGTGTCACCGCTGTCGGAGGAGAAGGCCAGACCGTGGGTGTCATGGGTGGTTACGTCCAGGGCGGCGGACACAGCCCCATGTCCGGTCTGTACGGCATGGCCGCGGACAACGTCCTCTCCTTCGAAGTCGTCACTGCTGACGGCCGCTTCGTAACAGCCAGCGAGTCCCAGAACCCCGATCTCTTCTGGGCCATCCGCGGTGGTGGCGGCTCGACGTACGGCGTCGTCACCTCTGCTGTCGTCAAGGCGCAGCCCAAGATGAACATCACCACCATGACCTTTGCCTTCTCCAGCGGCGAGAACCTCACCACCGACCAGTTCTGGACCGCGCTGCGCTTCTACTTTGACGGCTTCGTCGAGTACGCTGTCGACAACGCCAGCTATGGATACTTCCGCATCCAGAACCTCGGCACCTCCTTCGCCTTCGACATGGGCCCGTGGTGGGCTCCCAACATGACAAAGGCCGAGCTCAGCGAGCTCGCGGCTCCCCTCTTTGCTAAGTGGGCCGAGATTGGCCTCGTCGTCGAGCCCGTCTACACCGAGTACGACAACTTCTACTCCGCCTGGCAAAACTCGTTCCCGTTGGAGCCCTGGGGATCCAACGCCATCCGCCAAGCCAGCCGTCTTTTCCCCAGAGCCAACTGGGAAGACGAGACTAAGCTCAACGCAACCTTTGAGGCCATCAAATCCGTCTCCGAGGAGGGCGGCTACATCGTGGCCTTCAACATGATGGCGGCGCCCAAGACGGGATACCCCGACAACGCCGTTAACCCGGCGTGGCGCGAGGCTGTCATGCATTGCATCACAGCCGCCCTTTGGGACCCGACCGCCAACGAGACCGTCATCAAGACGGCCAGCGACAAGCTCACCTTTGACTGGATGCAGCGCTGGCGCGACGTCTCCCCCGGCGCGGGCGCGTACATGTCCGAGTCGGACTACATCGAGCCTGACTTCACCCAGGCCTTCTGGGGAACAAAGTACGAAAAGGCACTGGAGCTTAAGAAGAAGTATGACCCCAATGACGTCTTCTACGCGCAGAACGGTGTTGGGTCCGAGAGCTGGGAGATGTCGGAGATGATTATGGGCAACTTGCCTTCGCAGAACAGCAAGTTGTGCCGCAAGCAGTAGTCTGTGTTTGTTTTGTTGTGTTGAGTAATTGAGCCGCCAGGGATGCCTCAGGTGGTCTTGAGACTTCTTTGTAAATATTGCTGCTGTATATAAGAGTGGCTGGCATGACATGCTGCCTAGGCCTTAGAACGTAGATTGTGAGATGATCTCACCAGGCATTAGAGTAGCGAATACTGCGTCCTAATCCATCATCTTCTTGAACCTGGCCTTTGGTCTCGTTCCATAAGCGAGCTTGATTCTGACGAGAGTGACTATGACTTAGCCCCTTGAATTCCTTGACGCAAAGCAGACAGAACGGATCATGATTTTTCAAGTTTTATCCGGGCTGACCTGATAAAAGATATCACTTTATTAAACGCGAATGGTCTTGCCGGTTCTGGGAGACACTCGAAGAATCTTAACCTCAGTGTGTTCATTAAGATGGGATATTTTGAGAGACTCTCTCCACTCTCTCCCTGTTATAAGAAATGTTGACAGCAGCAGCCAAAGCAACAACAGTATACATGCCAAGTGACATAGCCCCCTTCAGATAATTAGATGTGCCGCGTTTCGTCAAGGACGTGATGACAACCAGCGTGGAAAGAGCATAGACCAAACCCTGGAAATACCCATAACGTAAGTCCATAGCCTCGTCACCAACAGTCCATCCAAGCATGACCAGAGATGGGATCACAAAGAAAGCAATCTGAATGCTAGAACCTGTTGTGATGCGGATGGCGAGATCCATCTTATTCCTGACGGCCATGATAACGGCAGTAACGTTTCCTGTCGCGTTACTCATGATTGGAATAAGAATAAAGGTGCCAAAGCTCTTGGTGATATGAGTTATTTGAAAGATACTGTTCAACAGATGACTGGCGCAAACAGCGACGCAACATGCGGCAACAGTCAGTAGTGTAAGAGCAGGAAGGAGTGTTATGATCGGATCTTCAGCCTCTTCGTCGTAGTGCGAAACGTCAACAATAAAGATGTTGGTGTGAGTGTGTAGATTCAATATGAGGTATAGTATGTAAAGTAGCAAAAGGATGATAGAAATGCCGCGGGAGAGGGAAATGGTGGCTTGTCGGACTGATTCATGATCAACAGGGTAAAACATAAAGTGAAACTAATTCAGAACGTTAGTTTAAGACAGGAGGTATATGGAATGAGATGCTTACTGCAGTAGGAAGAAACAAGAATGCTGAAGATACAACTATCAATGAACGAGTGGTTCGTACTCCGATAGGAGAAAAGCTTTGTTGTATGCCCTGAGTATCCAATACATCGCGCATATTGAGAATGTTCCCGATGAAGAAGCACATGCCCATGAAAAGAAGTAAGCTAGAGAGTATCGAGCCCAGCATAATTGACTGAACAGTGTCAATTTGGCCATTTCTCAAGGCAACGGTTCCAATGATTAATTCAGCAATATTGCCTAGAAGAGCATAAATTATGCTTCCAGGAACGTCAGGCAAGTTAAGTGACGCCTGCTTGGTTGCAAACTCTAACACTACGGTAAGAAGAGAGATGGCTGTCAGATTGACCGCAAAAACTCGGTTCGGATGCCAATCATGCCTTCCAGTAAAGATACCGAGTGGTAGCATTACTAGAAGAAATGTCACATAGCCTATAACACAGTAAGTTAGCGAGTAAACAAGATGAAAGTATTGGCTCACGCGACGGAAGGGGTCAAGTAAGACTTACATGCCAAAAGAATTTTACTTTTGACGCCCCAAACTCGTGATGGATGGCTCAAAATAGCACCGGCGATATTGGAGTTTGGATCATACGTCAAATCCAAGTGAGGCCTGACGTTCCTGTGGTAGCCGTCGCCTTCAATCATGCAAATATTGCTGAGGGCCAGGTGGTTTTCATGATCTAGGAGCGGCGATTCCTCATCGATCGTGTCTCCATACCCATTGCGTTGACTGGTCATGCCACAAAGGCGAATGTTGCCGAGAGGGCGCTGGTCTGACATGTTGCGGTGATAATCACCTGAACTGCTAGGTAGCGTGACCATGAAAGGTCATTTTTGGATGATGTATCATGCGACTTATGAGATTTTTATCATTAAAGGTGTCCTTCTATCGAGCGAACGAGGGAGGGACGGGAAAGAAGATAGAAGGAAGGCATTGCACGGTATGAGGCGACTGTAATACAAACCAGGCGGGGTAAGGCGAACCAGGCACCTGCCAAGCGATGCTGGCAGTTACTCATCATCAAACGAGGCTGACTATGAACACGTGAAGGGCTCAATACTCAGCCTGTTTTCGGTTGACCAACACGCTTACGTGCGTCTGGTCACCTCAAGATACAACAATGATGCCCGACTGACATTACCCCCTCCACTCCTTCTATCTCACTTCGAGATCGACTACGGTGCACTGTAATCTGCAGTTCGAAGTGAACTGAAACTCTGAGCATGTGGCTCGTCAACACTGACAGCTTGGCGTTGAAAGAGGTGTCGGAGCCTTCCTCGATCAAGTATGCCATCCTGTCGCATACCTGGGAGGACGACGAGGTGACCTTTCAGGACTTTCAAGACGTCGAACAAACTGGGGCGAGGTATAAATCCGGGTTCTCCAAGATTGAGAAGACATGTGAGCTTGCGCGCCAACGAGGTCTCCAATATGCGTGGGTGGACACTTGCTGTATCGACAAATCGAGCAGTGCAGAACTAAGCGAAGCTATCAATTCCATGTTCTCATGGTACAGGGAGTCCACCGTCTGCTTTGTTTTTCTGTCAGACTTGCCGGCGTCCGAGAGATTGATCGAACAAGTGGACTTGTCATCTATCTTTCCCTACGCTCAAAAGACATTTGCTGCCTGTCGATGGTTCACTCGAGGCTGGACTTTACAAGAGCTCATTGCTCCGAGCGAGGTGGAATTCTTCGATTCACAATGGGGATGGTTCTCTCGAAAAGCCGATTGCCTCGATAAGCTGGAAGAAATTACCGGCATACGTCGCTCAGTCCTGGAGTCCTCCTCAAACCTACGGCAGACTCCGATAGCGGTTAAGATGTCCTGGGCAGCATCTCGGAAGACGAAACGTGTTGAGGACCGCGCCTACTCTCTTCTCGGCATTTTTAATATCAATATGTCAATGATATACGGCGAAGGATCCAAGGCTTTCCGTCGCCTTCAAGAGGAAATATCCCGGGAGACGAACGACCTGTCCCTGTTCGCGTGGAGGGGCCCTGCCCAAGAGGATGCGGGATATCAGAGGTTCAGGGGCATCTTCGCGAGGTCTCCAAGCGAATTCAGCACCTGTTCAACATTGCAAAGATCTGGCACCAAACAGGACTCACAAAGCGAATTTACTCTCACCAACAAAGGTGTCCGGTTTGAGACGAAGTTATACAAGCATGCACAGGGCGCGTACGTCATGTATCTGGGGTTTAACATGCGAGAAAACACACCAGTCTGCATCATTCTCACACGCACAGCAGAAGGTTTCATTCGCAGCGAACCTTGGTCGTTGATATATGAGCACTCCTGGAGCCTGTCCAGGATTCACAACACTTTCACGATCCATGTCCAAAAGGACGTCAGCGTTCATGAAGATGCCCTCTTCTACAGGCAGAGGCACAGGTCATTTCACATCAACATAAATCTTCAGACATCTCTCAAGCTTGAACAGCTTGAGTCGTATCCGGAATATCCGTGGGACGAGGTCCATTCAAATTTTATCTCCAGCAATCCTGAAGAATCGTATGCTGCCAGGCTGAAGTTCTTAATCCGCGATACCGACAGTAACTTCGACGAAACCTTTCCTCTGACTCTGACGTTGGGATGGGCCAGTTCGCATCAACAGCCCTTCGCTGTACTTTACGGTTCTGAAGGGTTGGTGAACACTGCCAAGCTAGCGATCAGGAACATCCTCCCGGACAGCTTCCCAGACCTTGTTAAAGACGATTTATACTGGGGCAGTTCGTATGAAGAGAGCTTCGAAAAGGCACTCTCGAGGATTTATACGAACCCTCAATTTCAAGCTACGGAGGTACAGTTCGTCACCAAGAAGACAATGATTCTGCACCGTGGTGTTAAAAAGAACTCAGCTTTCGTCGCTACATTCAGGGTCGAGTTAGAGACGCAGCGGGATCACAACAATATAATCACCTACCATGCTTCTCTTTCTGGTAAGATCTCGAAAGTGGAGGGTCGCACTGCCATGTTGGCTTTGAGATCAACATGATCAAATTCAAGTTGATGGTCGAGATTTGTGTGTTCTATGTCGCTCGATTTCCTGTAAAACTAATCTTACCTAAGGTTGATATGTCATTTTCTGAGGGCGAAGTATAAGGTGACTAGCTATCTCTACAGTAAATAAGAAGGACACCGTCTCCGGTGTTCGGGATATCAACTTAGACATTCTGATGAATATTCATCGCTATATATTTCATTCAAATCTTTGATTCTATAAACTGTTGCCTTGATCGGTCGAATTTGTGTCACTCAATTATCAAACATAAACCTTGGAACGACAGGTGACTGTGAAGTTCAAAAGAGCCATCGGTAACTACAACACTTAGTCAACAGAAGCGACGGTGAAGATGTCAACAGCGACAAGAGGAATCGAGAAGTAGCGCGCAAGTGTCTGTTTTTATTATTCTACTCCTGCTGCCGCTCGTTTCCCCCCCGAAACTGGAATTGCCCAGAAGTACAACTCCTCAGCTGCTAGCGAAGAAAGATGGTTGTGATGAAAGCCAGCGAGAGGCTAATGGGAGGAAGCAAGGTGGAGGTACGTACTGACCACAAGACCCGCTTAATATTCACGCTAGTCCAAAACGGAGCATGCGCATAACCTGCCTTGCGAATTTCAAGGTGACATCTCTCGAATTTCCATCCAAACACAGCTTCACGAAGGCAGCCGATCATCATGGCCTCGATCGCGGCATCACTGGCCTCGGCCCTCCCGACACCCAAGTACACTGGCGAAGATGAGGAAGCTCCCTCACGCGCCCTGCAACGCGGCCCGCGTATTGTCGGCGCCGGCCAGCTGGACGAGACGCAAATCGTGCTGAAGCGATCGGGCCCTCCACCATACCAACAGCGAGCAGGATGGCGACCACGAGGACCCGAAGACTTTGGCGACGGCGGCGCGTTCCCCGAGATACCGATCGCTCAATACCCGCTCGACATGGGGAAGAAGGGCGCGACGACCAGCAACGCGCTCGCCATCCAGGTCGACGGCGAGGGCAAGCTCGACTACGGGGCCATTGCGCGTCAGGGCCACGCCGAAAACCGAATCGTCCATACTTCCTTCAAGGATCTGATTCCTCTCCGCCAGCGCGCCGATGCGGGAGAAATCGATCTGAGCCGGCCGAGTCAAGAGGAGGTGGAAGCGACGGCGGAAAAGACGAAGAATGCGCTGGCAGCGCTGGTTAGCGGTGCCGTGGCCGCCCAAAAGCCAAAGACGCTCAGTGTTGGAAAGCGAAATGACCCGACATTTGTGCGATACACGCCAGCGAACCAGATGGGCGACAACTCGACCAAGCTGGACCGTATCATGAAGATTGTAGAGCGGCAAAGGGACCCGATGGAACCCCCCAAGTTCAAGCACAAGAAGATCCCTCGTGGACCGCCAAGCCCGCCACCCCCCGTCTTGAGATCGCCGCCGCGAAAGCTGACGGCTAAGGATCAGGAGGACTGGCGCATCCCTCCGCCTGTCTCCAACTGGAAGAACCCCAAGGGTTTCACCGTCCCCTTGGACAAGAGATTAGCGGCCGATGGACGCGGACTCCAGGACGTGGCGATCAACGACAAGTTTGCTCAATTCTCTGAAGCACTGTACGTTGCAGACAGACACGCCCGCGAGGAGGTCAGACAGCGTGCAGCCATGCAGCAGCGTCTGGCAGAGAAGGAGAAGGCGCAAAAGGAGGAGAACCTCAGAATGCTGGCCCAGAAGGCTCGCGAAGAAAGGGCCGGCGGCGGCAGACGGGACTCACGATCACGGTCACGGTCACGCAGCTACAGCGATTCAGACTCGGAAGGTTCGGACGGCTCTGAGGACTCTGAGATCCGGGAGAGAGAAAAGGCACGAAAGGAGCGTATGCGCGAGGAGGAGAGGAAACTTCGGCAATCACGCATGGGTGCCGAGAGGAGAGTCCAGGTCATGGCAAGAGAGCAAAACCGCGACATTTCGGAAAAGATTGCTCTGGGTCTCGCCAAACCTACCCAGTCCAAGGAAACCATGTATGACTCGAGACTTTTCAACCAGTCCAGCGGCTTCGACAGCGGCTTCAACGAGGACAACCACTACGACAAGCCGCTCTTCGCAGCGCAGGAGGCCATTGGCAGCATTTACAACCCGCGAGCCAACATGGACGACGAGGACGACGAAGCGGCAGGTGATAAGGAGATGGCCAAGATTCAAAAGACCAGCCGGTTCGGCGAGGCTTTGGGTAGGGGGACGTTCAAGGGTACAGAAGATGTCGAGGTTAGTAATCCGTTTCAAACAAAAGCAAAGGGCAGTGCTAACAAATGTTTCACACAGGCGAGAGAGGGACCGGTGCAGTTTGAAAAGGATGCCGGGGACCCCTTCAACGTGGACAAGTTCCTGTCCGAGGTGGAGCAAAACTCTTCGTCCAAGAGGGGGTACGGCCTTCAGGATGACGATTCCCGGCAGCCGAAGCGGGCGCGAGTGGAAGAGGATGATGATTAAACAAGGCTGGATATCATCTTTCCATGTAGCCGAAGAAAAGCTTTTGGGTTACCTAGGTAGTTGTACGACAGTGCGGGTGGGACTTGTTTTGACTGGCATCGAGATGGGCGGCCTTATTTGGGGTATCGGAAACAGCCTCATAAACTGCAAAATTGCAGTGCATAATGCAATTAAAAGCAGAAATTCAATTTGGGCCTACATGCAGAGACGTGGTGAAGAAACATTGGATGATTGCGTAGACTTTCATGGCCCTTCCTTGTGTTTTAGGGCGAAAATTCTGTTGAGATTGGCTCGAAGCCGACTGGGTGAGTTGGCCTAGCGACGCTGGTTGTTTCAAAGACGGCGAATTCATGCGGACTTTTATCATCAGACTGGTTGCAAACTCATGCTCTCTTCCAAGACAAGGCCGAGAACCGGACGAGACGGACGGGAACATTGGCATCTGGAGCGAACGACTGGCTGGCTGCTGGGTTTGACAGGCAAACAGGCCTCTTGAGTCGGTAAAACTTGTCAGAGTTGGGTGTCGGCGGGAGTGACAGTCATGGCCGGCGAGGGGCACAGCGTGGGGTGTCATTGGTGGTTTTGCATGGTGGTCCGGGTGTTGAACCAAGATTCAAGACATCAGGCGAGCCAGGGGAGGGAACAAAAGTTGGGACGAAGATCAGGCAGTGTTGTGGGAAACGTGGGTGGTGGCTGGAGCATTGGACGTTCCGGGCCTATAATTAAAGTCCGTATTGTGTTTGGTAGGTATCTTGGTATAGTAGGTAGCTTTGGTTGACAGGTTTTGGTGTTGAAACAGTTGCTTTCTTACTCTCGTGGCTTTTTAAGCTCCGAGTCGGAGACTTTTGCCAATGCCTTGGCTGTGAGCCAACCGGCTTTAAGGAATGTGACTGTTCATACTTTTCTTGAAGAGGTAAGAGTTTACTGTCTAAGAGGGTTGCGGGGAAAGCAGCGAAGAGTAGTAAAAGGTGGGTTACCGTGAAGTATGAAGTGAGGAGAGTTGATGTTTTGCTTTGGGCATCGTAAGACGACGCAAAGAGGAGAAACATCAGCGGAGAGAAGGGGAATAAGTAAGAGCTGTTGTAAGCTTAAATTTGTCCAACCACCAGCCGAACGATTTCCAGAGTTTGACCTCACATATACATATTAGGCTTCATGTTCGCATCACGCAGGTCAGGCTTTCCGGGCTGTTTGTAACCCAGTTCTAATGTTCACTCAAACCCCTCCAACTCCCCGATGGATAGGTCGCAGATGTCAAATTGTTGATCAGTTCTCCCGATCTTGTTCCACGAGTTGATCTGGGGGCGTTGCAGGAGGCCGGAGCGGCAAGCCGAACGTGATCCGAATTCGAATTGGCGTATACCCAGGCGCAGATCAATCACGAAATGGTTCGCCGCACATCAGCAGTCGATCCTTCAATGCGGCTCCCAGTCATGTCAGGTACGCGGACTGCCTGTGAGACATTGGATACCTGGCAGCTGTTCCGTATATTCTTGCTCATTTACTCGTTTCTTTCATTCCCAGTTCCGATTCTAGATGTCTCTTGATAGTCGCCCTCGTTCAAGTTGTATCATAACCCCCACTGAGATCAAAGTGTCGGCTTGAGAAGAGGGCTGATAATCTACCTTTCTTCCCATCACCTGTAAACTAGGGTCTTGCGAAAGTAATTCCATGATTCAGAGAAGGGTAAAAGACATCGGATCGAGTGATCGGAGAGGAAATAGAGAACAGACAGACCACACGCTTGACATAGTTCCTCGGGCGTTCTGACTGATTGACTGAGAAAAGGCAATGCATACGACTAGCTGCGCGGGTCCCATTCCATTGACTTCAGAGTTCAGGGCTTCACGGGCGGTCCAACTTGGCTCCTGTCGCCAAGCCCTTTAGTGCGGGTGGTGCTTGCAATGCTTGGGGGTTCGGCCTTCAAGCCGTGCCCTGCCTACCCCTGATGCGAGAAGCCAAGTTTGTCTCCTCCCAACTTCAACTTCCTTGTCTTTCGTGTCTTCCTAGATCCAATCCAATGCATGTCACATCGGACAGCGTCGACGTGCATCCGTTATGAGGCGCTATGAAGCGTCGATCCTGCCGGCTGCTTCATCCAACATCGACTTCAACCCCGTCTCTCTTTCTCACCATCTCGTGCGGCGACAACGACGACAAGAACCAAGACTTGGGATACATCATGTCATGCCTCTTTGACACCGACGTCTACCATCATCTCCCACGCAGCAAAGACGAGAATGAGATGCTGTCTGGGAGCCGAGGCAGGTCACTGACATTGGCACTCATACCTGGGAACGCACTCGCATTCGTTCGCTCTTCATCTCGAGACTGCAACAAAACCTGACATCCGGTCCTCCTTTCGGGCTGAGGAGCAAGCCCTGGCTCGAACTTTGACGCTGGGCAATGCCCAATCTAAGTATCTCTGTCGTGAGTCGTCCGTGCATCACATTTCCACGCTGGCCGAGGAACCCCGGCACTGCCTCCTGGACTCTGAGCCACGAGCCAGAGCCATCCATCCCATCTATGTTTCTTGTCTTCTTCTTCGAACCCTGCAACGGCAACGCTGTAGGCGCCCCCTTTGGATGTTCCGTCGCTGGCCCCCCTCACCTCGAATACCCCTTCCTTCATGCCCCAAGGGTTGTCTCTGCCTCTAAAGCATGAATAAGAAGCTTCTTCCCAGACACGACACCCCGGACGCACTGGCGAGCTTGCAGAGACAGCATGACTTTTGACAGGACTTGACTTTCCTCGCAATGCACCTCGGGTCTGACTCCAGGGCCGGCCCACAACTCCACCCCAACCTTACTCACCCCGGTGCCCCCATCTTCGCTCCCAAAGACCCGGCCTGTCAAGGTCGGCAGTCAGATATCCCTGCTTCCTCGCAGAAGCCCCATGAGGCGCCTGTCTGATGGTTCTCACCTCCTCTGCTTCTCTTGGTACCGGTAGCCCTTCTCGGTACCATCATCCAGTTTACATCCGAGCCCGTGCTTGGCGCCGGCGCGCGGAGGTGCCAGTGATCTCCAGGGGATCATCCATACCTCGGACGCACAGCTGAAGCTCAATTGCAAAGTTGGCGGTTGCTTGCTTGCTGGGCACCGTGTATCATGTCTCGCCCCCCGCGTCATCGTGGCCTCTTGAGGGAAAGAGAAAAAAAAAAGGTTGCCTGTCCGTGAGGAACCACGATCGATGCTTATTTCTCCAGGTTTCCCACCTCTAGCTGCATCATGTAAGACCTCCCTTCTCTCATCTCTTCTCCATCGCATATTCAGCGCCTCTTGGCGGTTACGATTACCTTGCTTTTTAATATCTTATTATAATTTTACTTCAAGCCTCTGAGAGGACTGCGCCGCTTTATCTACACCACCATCCTTACCACAGAACAAGGGGAAGAAAAGAGCAAGGCCTCTATCATCACCGCTTGAGTCATCTACCTGCTTCGGGCATACCTACCACGCCATAGTAAGCCCGAAAACCTGGCACACCAGCAATAATACGAATATTTCACGCCCGACGCTCGCATTTCTTTTCAGATCCCTGATGCGAGAGAGAGACGGCCATCGACGTACCCTGCAGACCAAAAAAAGCTGGGCTGCCTCTCAGTCTCTCCCTTTTCCCTTCTCATCCGCTAGTCGCCATTGGACCGGGTTTTGTGGTCCACCAGCGTACGCGTACATACTACGTATGATAGGCGTAGTCGTCACTCTCTGAAAAATCGGGGGTGGAACTACGTGAAGCGTATCAGCTTGAAGAAAAGATGGTTCCAAATCTGGGGCCAAACACATCACTCGGCTACACTCCGTTTGAGTACTGGAAGGGTCCGAAACCCGTCCTTCCCAGACCAAAGCGCAAATCTAGAGCCGTCGCCCTCGACCTAGAGCCGTTGCTTCCCACCCCCACCCCGGCCCCGAAGCCTAGAGCGGCCGCGAGATGGCCTGGTCAACATCCGCCTGCAGGCGTCTTTGTGGCGCAGCCAGGCACATATATCGTATCGCCCAATATCAATCGTAGCAAGACGCCTTTTGCGGAGATACTCGTCGTTCCACCAAAGGTCCTGGTCCACCCACTTTTCCGGGACGAGATAAAGACCCCAGACTGGCCCCGAGGCTTCTCTCCGTACCCGAGTTCCATGAACGACTCTGACTACTACGGCGGCATCATGGGCGACTACGGATTCTCAAACGAGCGCCTCGGGCAACAACAAACTGCGTGGTGGAATCCCAAGGGATGGACGAAGCGGATCTGGGCCGGCGTCGGCGGTGCCCTCGTCGTTATCATTGTCATTGTCGTTGCCGTCACCGTCACACAAAACAACAAGAACCGATATCCCGACTACTCCCAGCTGACGTACAAGCTGAGTGACACATGTACGGAACCGTGCTCAGGGTCCTCGCCCGTCGCACGAGCCCCCGGCTGAAAAAAATGATCATGAACATTCGATCTGATGATAACAGACTCTGGAGAGGACTTCTTCGACGGCTTCAACTACTTTAACACCTACGATCCCACTGGGGGCATGGTTCACTACGTCGGTGCCGACGAGGCCGCGAGCAGGGTATTTACCACCTTCACCCACTACTTACATGGAACCACCGGCTGAGTATGCAACCTATTCGTGAAATAAAGAACCTCACATACGCCACATCGTCCACCGCCGTACTGAGGGTAGACCACACCACCGGCAACACCTCCTCCCCCGACGCCTCGACGGGCCGCTTCTCCGTCCGCGTCGAGTCCAAGAACCAGTACGACAAGGGCCTCTTCATCTTCGACGTGAAGCACACCCCCTACGGCTGCGCAAGCTGGCCGGCCCTCTGGTTCTCGGACCCCAACAACTGGCCCGACGCCGGCGAGATCGACGTCATGGAGGCCATCAACCAGGGCACCGACGGCAACCAGATGACGCTGCACACGACGTCGGGCTGCGAGATGAGCGTCAAGCGCAAGCAGACGGGCTCGACGCTCCAGTCGGACTGCAAGAACACGACAAACGGCAACGC